AGATCATCAGCTTCACTTTCCAACCACCTTTCTTCTTCTTATCAAACATCAACAGAGTTGATTAAAACAAATCAGAGCCGGGCTCCATTTCACTGCTTCACTTCTTCCAAGCAACAGAAACATCAAGCCTCATCCGCTTCTTTCAACCTTTTCTCCCTTTTCCACCACACACATTTCAAAATGGTTCCTCCTCGCTCTGGATCTGCTATGGGCATGCGCAGCCGCGGCCCCGTAGAGCTCAACGTCAACCTCGCCAAATCATATGAGATCCGCGGACCCAAGTCACCCATGCCCAGATCTCCTTTCCGCGACGTCACCCACGAGGACCGCAGGGCCTCATCATCATATGAAGACAGACTCGATGGCGCCATTCACGTCCTCCGCACTGAGGCAAACGCCCTCATGGCCCTCACTCAGCTTTACTCCTCCGAGCGTGTCTGCCGCGACGGCTTCTACCGCTCCGTTGATGCTCTCGTCCGCCACCGCGATCACCGCGGCAAGGTCGTCTTCATCGGCGTCGGCAAGTCTGGCTGGATCGCGAAGAAGCTCACTGCCACCTTCAGCAGCTTGGGTCTTCCCGCCGTCTTCCTTCACCCCACCGAGGCCCTCCACGGTGACCTCGGCGTTGTGGGCGAGTACGACACCCTCATCATGATCACCTTCTCCGGCAAGACCCCCGAGCTCATGCTCCTCCTGCCTCACCTCAACAAGAAGTGCCCTCTCATCCTCCTCACTTCGCCCACCAGCATGGAGACATGCGAGATCGCAAAGGCCCGCCCTGATCTCATCCTCCTCCCTGCTCCCATCCCCGAATCTGAGAAGGATACCTTTGGCGTCTCTGCGCCTACTACCTCTACCACCATGGCCATTGCCATGGGCGATGCCTTGGCGTATGTTGCTTCAAAGGAGATGTACTCATCGGTATCATCAGTCTTTGCAAAGAACCACCCCGGTGGCGCCATTGGCCAGGCTTTCAAGACAAAATAAACAGCCACTTGGTTGTCGACTTTTGTATTGAAAAATGCTTTCTAGTGTTTTGAGGCAGGGCGTTGTCGGATATCAGGGAGGATTTCACAGACGTTAACGGACAGAGTTCAAATTGCTCATAGGGCGTCCAATCTTCATTGTAAATATCTTGTTCGGATTTGGGATTATTAGGCAAAACTAGCGGTTTTCTGGGACTCCATAGACTTCATTTCTTATGTTCGATACCACAATTCGATGATCATATCTCGTATTATCTCTCAAGTTCAAGCATGCCTCTCTTCCCACAACGATGTGCCATACTCCAGAACGAGATTATAGACTGCATGTATCTCATTTTGCCATCTCATTTCGATCCAAAGTATAAAATGGAACTAAGTATACACGAGATGACTTCATTCCATGTAAATCTGTTTCTTAGAAATTATTCACGCTTGGCATAAACATCGAATCCAGTTTATCGTACCTCTCGGAGTTGCTACGTAGGGCATGTTACATTTGTCGCCACACTAATGCAGGGTGATGGCGAGATCATCAATCCTCCCTGAGGAGGTGAAGATCGATTGATCGATGTTTGAAGAGTCTCGACTTTGGGCCTCCTTGTTTGCAAACACCTCACATCAACGTACGAATGTGTCGTTGCACATATCCTGATACTTCATCCACCGGCCTATTGATACCTCGCCAGGCACTCTTTTGCCGTGCCGTGATGCCGACATAAGGCTAGGTAGTACATATTCCATAATCCCCTCAAGTCTCAGCAAAGAAATAAAATCCCAAACCCAGAGTTTCTTCTGCGGAGCATATGTGCAACACGGCGTGAGCGGGTGGATGAATGAGTGCCGTGCTTGCCTCTCTTGCCAGAGATCTGGGACTGACACAACCCACACCCACCCACTGTCACAAGTCAAAATTCTCCATGAGTTTGTTTTGCCTTTGCTGCCCAGAACCCAGAACGGCAAGTGAGTAAGAGACAGAGAGAAGCAGAAACCCCGCTTGTCCGCCTCGACTGTAGTTGGCACCTGCAATCTCTTTCACACAACAAGTTCTAGACGCCGCACCTTGGTTCCCTCAGATCCTGTCGTCCAGTCGCCCTTCCTCCTATCATTGGCAGACGACGGACGATAACCCTGCCATCTCTACTCGAGCCCCTGCAGGATGATCGCCCGTGCATAGCCAGGGAATATTCCTTGAGTACGGACCAATCGACCGACAGGGGCTTCCTAGTCTTATCCCACTAGGAACCTCACCAGCGTCGCATTGACTCGATCCAACGGAGGGTACGTACTCCACCCACGCACATTCGGGTCGAAAGTCCTTAAAACAGTTTGATATAACGCCAACCCGTAACGGCACGTGGGGTTTGACGCGTAGTTGCCGGGATAGGGGCATGGGCCACCCGAAAGGCTTTCCTTTTGGCACATCATCTTTGCGGCTTGCCCGCTGCGGTCGTCCGTTGTGGGCACCATCCCATCCCTCCCCCGTCGCGTCTGGTTGATTCAGGAGTCCTCAGAGAAATTAATAATTCCTGGGTTATCGCTGCGGTGCCGCCGATCCGCACCCAAGGTGACCCTAGTCGATCACCAGCCCTGGGGTCCCCAAGCATGATGATGAGCTGTGTTCATCATCAGCCACCCCGAGCTGGCGGCTACAACGACGTATGCCATGTGGGGAGGGGGGGCGTGGGATGTAAGGCCTGCGTTGCTTCTTAGACGCTGCCCGTCAATTATCCAAGACATGCGTAGCACAGCAAGCGAGAATGATGTGGTTCTCGCCCCTTGGACTTCATGGTCCTGATAGGGTCGGTCCCCGTCCTCGGCGGGCTCCTTTCCCTGCCTCTTGCAGTTATCACTCAATGAGGCCCATCATTGTCAGGAAAACCTCCATTCCCTCTCCTTCACTCACCGCTACCAGTCTGGAAGCTAGCAGTAATGATCCATCACCATGTCGGACTCTCTCCAAGTGCCTGACCCCGCCAGGCTACAGTTCTACCCTCCAGGTGGACAGAAGCAGACCAGATTCGCTCCTCTCCCACCGAGACCACCGCCGCCTCCTGGTAGGCACTCCTTCATCAATGCCAGGAGCTCATGGATGCGAAGAAGCCAACGCTTCCAACCTCTTGGACTTGAACCACCACCATCAGACCGCTTCTCCCGCCTGCCGCGGCTAAGCAGGTTATCATACTACCCCGTCGCCAACGAGTATATCGAGGGTGTCTTCAACGAGAAGACTGCCCTCCCTCCACGATGGTCCTTTTACGTACCAGACTTTGACTTTGATGTCGAGGACTTTAAGAAGTATGACGAGAAGCCAGAGAATGAAGACGACGAGGGCCCGCCAACAGCCCTCAAGGCCTTCCGTGTCGACTTTTGGGATGGAGACCCAGACGACCCAAAGAACTGGTCGACGGCTTATCGTGTGCTCGTCGTTGCCATGTTTGCCCTCACGACCCTGGCCACGGGCATCTACTCGACGGCCTACTCCAGTGGCATCACCCAGATGAGTCAAGAGCTCAACGTCACCAACCCTTCACTACCTCTCCTCGGTATCTCTCTTTACCTCGTCGGTCTCGCTCTCGGAGCCCTCATCATGGCACCGTTGAGCGAGACCTTTGGCCGAAGACCAATGTACATTGGCGGTCTCACAGTATTCCTGGGACTGATCCCTCTCGCCGCACTGGCAACCAACTTCACGATGGTCATCGTGGCACGTTTCCTTGGGTAAGTCGCCTTCACATTGTTCCTTCACTTACAAGATCAGTTGCTCACATGAACTCTAGTGCTGTCGCGGGTAGTGTCATGCTTTCCAACGTTGGCGGCTCCATCATGGACATCACGAACCCTAAATACTTGCCGCTGGCTATGTCAGTGTACTCATTTGGACCCCTCAACGGTCCCGTCCTCGGGCCTCTGATGGTAAGTTCCAATCACTCAAGATCCTCGGCCCAGGTCACTAACAACAATGACAGGGTGGATTTCTCGTTGAAGCCTTCGGCTGGAGATCACTCAACTGGATGTCATTGATCTCAACAGCCGTCGGAGCTCTCTTTATCATGACCGTCCCAGAGACTTACCGGCCTACACTTTTGAGAAAGAAGGCTGCTGCAAAGCGACAAGAAGAGGAAGACCACAGATACTGGTCGGACTTTGACGACACCGTCCCTATTTTCCGCAGAATCAGGACGGCCGTGTCCCGTCCCTTCATCCTGTCCTTCACTGAGCCCGTGCTCATGTTCTGGAACATTTACATCTCTGTCATTTACGCCATCGTCCAGTTGGCCTACGTCGCATTTCCTATTGTCTACACCACCGAGCGCGGCTGGAGCGTCGCCATTTCTGGCCTCGCCTTCCTCGGCGTCTTTGTCGGCATCGCGCTCGTCCTAGCCACCGAGCCGCTCCTTAGAAAGCTGGTCAACCGCCAGCCCAAGAACCCGGAGACTGGCCAACAGGAGCCCGAGGCAGTCGTCCTCCTCATCTGTATCGGCGCAGTCCTCGAGCCCGTCGGCCAGCTCTCATTCGCTCTCACTTCCCTACCCATCGACATCCCCTTTTACTGGAGTGTCTTATCTGGTGTCCCCTTCGGCTACGGCTTCGGCCTCGTCTTCATCTACGGCACCAGCTACATTTCAAAGGTCTTTGGCATGTACGCGACCTCTGCGTCAGCCGGCAACCTCGTCTTCAGATCTATTCTCGGCGCCGTGTTGGTGCTCGTCGGCAAGAGCATGTACGCCGCCCTGACACCACGCATTGCGGGCATTACGGTCGGTGTCGCCGAGGTCGTGCTCATGCCCGTCCCCTTTATCTTTTACAAGTGGGGCAAAAAGATTCGGCAGAGAAGCAAACTTATTCAAACTTTGGAGGAGCAAGCGAAGAAGATGTCTTAAATTTTTTATCCCCTCTGTACTACGGAAACCGGAAAGATACCCCCTTTTCCTATGTTGAAAACTGTACTGTGAACCAGTCACCAGTCACATTCTTGTCAAATAGCCTTTATTTATCAAACATCTGTACTTAGAACCTCGAGCGATCAAAATATGTAGAATATAGATAGAATCATCATCATTATCCAAAAGTCCAACATTGCCTCCCATCTTCCATCTCATTTCTCGTACGAGTACATGTAGTTATTGCGTCCCAGATTTGCACGCAAAGTCGTGAGATCTGCGGGCATTGCAAACTTGTAAGGTACATGTAGCTTTCCTATGCCGAGCAAAGTTGCAGCCGCTCTTTCCAACACAATTTGACCCACTGATTCTGTGTATATCGACATGACTCTTCTGCAGGGGACAAACTACTCGCAGGGCTCGCAGTGTTTGTCACACCGCCCGCCCAAACATTTTCCCGCAGCATCTTGAGCGCCACTGAGATATTGAGAAGCTTCTGCTTGTCGATAATTCTCTCAAAAAGGTCTTCTACCTCATACCGCCGTGCGCTCACCGCCATGCTCTCGCAGCCGAGCACAAACACGGGCCAAACCATCATGGTCGCCGCATGCGTGTCGAGCGGCACGGCGGCAACGGCGTCGGATAGCTGCTCTACCAAAGCCAAGGGATGCTTTGTAGGACGTTCAGCTGACAAGGTACTTGAGTCACCCTCGTCCGCGCGGAGTAGGAAGATTTGTGTTGCTAGGCTGTGGGCCCGGGCGGCTGCGATACAGGCATTAGCATCGCGGATTTTGAGACTGGTTGGCGGAGCCGATGGATCGGTATTTGGATCTGGCTGATGTTGAGGAGGTGGAAGATCTGAGCAAGCTGATTCAAGTTTTTCTAGGAGGTGGCATCGAGAGGAGACAAAGTCCTCGGGCGTAATCATCGTTTGGAAGAAGTCGTCAACCAGCGAGGCTGCTGCTCCAATCACCGGCAAGATGTGCATCGAGTAGCCGAAAACAATGTCTGGCCCATTGGCAGCAGAGCAGTCTTGACATTTGGGGAGGATGAGATCTTGCCAGGCCTGCTCGTCAAAGACTGGGTGTGTTGCGCAAGGTACGCAGCAGAACGTGTCGATGTAAGCCATCATCTTGACGTTCACTGCCATCATTGGAGTGTCTTTTTCGATTGGCCAATTTGGAGCCACTCTCTGTCGTAAATTGTGTCTTTCTTGCATTTGCGCTTTAAGGCCTCGAAGAAGAGGGATGATTGACGGCGTGTGCGAACCTTGCATGATTTCCATGCCAACGAGCGCTGCCGATGCTGCAATTGCCTCTTCACTCAAGTACACTGGGAATGACGTCTGAAACTGGGGATTCGATATGGTTCTTGGCTGCTTTACGCAGGCCACCATTGTGGAGAGTGCTCTTTGTTTCCTTTCGAGAGTCTCTGCATGTTTGAGCTTCCCGAGTGCGTAAAGATGAGCAGACCCGGCAGCTAGAACCGCTGGAAGAAGGATGGAATTTTCCTTCCAGACAAAGGCAAGATATGGTTGCCGTATGGTAGCGTATTCTTCAGGGTTGGGATATACAAGATCCGGCAAAGAGTCGGCCCAGTGTCTGAAAATGAAGGCATCTGACGACGAATGAAGTTTCGGGCCCACTGACAGATTGCGTGCTACGGATGTCGGGGGGATCGCTTTTTTCCTACACGCGGCCGACTTTTTTGATGGACAAATCGTCAGAGAACTCCGCGGCTTGATGACGCTCTTGCTTGCAGATTGGCTATCCGGGCTGATATCGCTGATCTCAACCCATTTCAGATGTATCTGGTATCCGACACACTCGACACCACGACGCTCGCACTGCTTGCAGAACGGGCGCGCCTCGTCGCACTTGATACGGGCTGTTCTGCATGTCCCGCATCCTGTGTCAAGAGCAGAGAAAAGTTAGATCCTACGCCAAGAGACGGTAGAAAGAGCCAAGCGCGATGAGACTTCGCGTTTGTCAGCCTCGTCGAGTGTGGGTTGACGAACCGTTGCGAGAGCGCCTGTGAGCTTGAGCAGCCATTGGAACCCGCCCGGCATTGGCCGAGTTTGTGATGTGAGGTGAGGTTTTGTGCTACGTGTGATGTTGATAGAAACTTCCCTCCCCCCAGACCAGATTGCATGTGATTTAAGTTCGTGGTTCCGGTGGGATAAGATGATACAGGTCGTTGAACTCAATCTGAGTGGTTTGTGCTGATGCAGAATTGTAGATGAGAAAAGAAACGCGACTAGCCATGACCAGATTAGGAAAAAACCGACTCCTTACTCGCCAAGATGGCGAGGTGTCTTGGTTTTATGTGCTCCGCTTTCATCCGGTTCCGACGACAAAGCGGCAAGTGGAGACCGCTATGAGGTTGTAACCAATAGCAACCGCGTAACCGAGTCAGCAATGTCGTCGATGTTGTCACTAAAACATAACCATGACCTTGAAGATCTGGTGACATCTTGGCTTGTGCTGAGTTGACTTTTCTGTATTTTTGGTTACATTCTCTAGCTGTGGCCTCAGTTTGTCCCGAGTTGTCGGGTTATTTTACGATACAGTCTAGACCTTGCCAAGGTCCTATCCACATGGCTGGGGCACATTTGGTACCCTAAAGATCTAGACTTCCTAATGCAGCGTCAGACCTAGTCAGGGTGGGTTTTTACCGACCACGGAGTGGATGCGGAGAGATCGCTGCCTTCGTGAGGACTTGAGCGGGCATTCAGTGTTGCAATTAAGACGTTGATTTTGGAAAAGTGTAGATCCGAGTAATACGTGTTGCCTCGTGGATTCATGGAGGAATGAGGGGGCGCTTACATTTTAAACTAAGAAATTAGCGGTATCTGCTGAAGCGCTATTTCGCCCCACAATGATGTCTGGCACGCGCTTCCATCATGGCATGAAATCGTCAACTTCAAAGATGTGTAATGAAATGTCATCGACGGCCAACCCGGCCAATCGCATTTAAAGAAGATTCAGAATGTTATCGAGTACCAGATATCTTGACTGAAACAGGAATGATATTCACAGCGTGCGCTATGATTTTCCGTACGAATTGCGTAAGTCGTAAACTGTAACCACCGAGGTGAATCGAATCCTGATTCTGGGCATAAGCAAAGTTTTGACATTTCTGTCGTTTTTCATGATGATTGCCTATCAGAATCATTCCATCTGATAGCAGCAACTCGCAGGTTGATCCTTCAGAGCGATTGCATTGGACATGAATCCCATGAGAGTGCTGACATGTAAGACTAAAATCTGACAGGCTGATTCTAGACGTTGACATTGGTTGGATGCGAATAGTCCCTTGCTGGGCTTAAAACACCTTGGACTTCACCATGCTGATCAGTATCATTCTCACCATAGTACTTATTGATGTTTCCCTCCGTAATGACCAAGTCATCTTTGGTCGCGTACTCTCCACCTCCATTTTCCAGCCCCCATCATGGACCGCGCGAATCTCATCGCAACACTCGCCGCAGCGAGACAAACCCCCAGACGACCTATCGTAACCCTCGCAAACTGCGACAACGCATGGATTATCTCTATCCCCAGACCTGCAGGAGCGACCGGTAAAAAGGTCTTTTACCATATCTTGCAAGACCCTTGGCTCTTTGGCGTCAACGACATGCTCATTAGCTACTTCTTGCGGCTGTCGCTCAAGGAAAAGTCGGCGCTAGAAACCATTGAATCCTGCGAAGATCTAGTTCGAGAGATTGAGGAGGCGGTCGGGGGCTCTAAGGAAGACGACGAGCACTGGCTCGATGCGGTGACCGTCACCCATACCAACCCGGATCACCTGCATCAACCGACTCTGCAAACTTTTGATCCATCACTCACAGTCTTTGCCGTAGAGGACGCCGCCGCGACGATCTCTGCAATGAAGCACTTTGACAAGGTCCACGTTCTCCCGGACTTTGTACGTGGCCAGGCGTGGCCCGCTACGCCAGAGATGCCCGACTGGTTGTCCATCTTCCGCCTCGAAGACGAGACCAAGAAGTACCCGAACCTTTACCATGGCATCGTCATCAGAATCGCAGCTGCGAATGGAAAAGACGAGGTCATTTTGTACAGCCCTCACGGAGTCGACCCCGGTATCGTAGAAGCCGCCATGGAGATGAACCCCGACGCGAAGGTTATTGCAATGACGCACCCAATCAACGAGGCTGGCGTTGGACGCAAATCCAAGGGGGTAGCCAATGCTCTGAAAATCCAGCGGAAGCATTCGCCAAAGTATTGGATTCATTGCCAGGAGGGAATCCAGTATACCGGGTTCTTGACCTGGTTCTTCGACTATGGAGACAAGACTTTGGAAATCGGCCTAGAGGAAGAGGCCAAGGAGACCGAGGAGGAGCTACCTAGGCCCAACTACGTGACTATCTCGAACGGCGCAGGGTTTGTTCTGGCATAGTCAGGGATATGCGAATGAAGTGGGCATGGAGTCAAATCGGTCGTCCTCTGTTTGAAGCTTTATCACGCAACCAACTACCTTGCATCTGCATTTCCAAATAAGCCAACGGAAGCTCAAGTGACTTGAAAAGTAGATGCACAATGAAACTAAGCATAATCGGCATCACAAGAGCCGCAAAAGCAAAAAGAACTCCTCGACGGGGAATTGAACCCCGGTCCCCTGCGAATCGTTGAAATTCAATGACAAGCAGATATCCTCACCACTAGACTATCGGGGATTGGTGGATGTTGACATCCAGTGATAGTTGGTTGGGTGGGGAGGCGTCTAGCTGCACTATAGATCTATGCCAGTGCCTAATGGAGCGGAGGTGCCAGAAGCGCTCAGCCAACATCAACTGGAAGCTCCAAATTGCCGTCAATAGAGCTAAAAACGCAGTCTGATTAAGGAACTATGTAATTATCTTCAATATTCTATTGGAACAGCGTCGCGAACCCGACAAGTTGCCATAGCTACTGTTGAGTTTATAAGGCGACGATCTCTACACCTGGGTAGCGCACGCTGAGCTACTGTGCTGCCCTCCCCTAACGATCTTGCGAGGAGTCGGCAGTGTCCATCCGCGATCCACCCTCGGTGGCATAATTAGCCAGGTCAAGACATACACAAGATATGACAACATACAAGAATCACCGGCAGGATCAGAATTGCATGGGTGGAACAACGGGAGAGACGACGCAGCCCTACCTGTGGCACAGTTAATGACCTTTGGTCCTTATTGGAGAAGTGTTGGCGCCGGTAGTGACACCACCACAGTGGCGCAAGCTCTCCAAGAAGAAGTCATCTCAGTGAAGAGCACTAAACCAAAGAGAAGCTCAAGTGCTTACTGTGCCATGACAGATCTGCACTCAAGTTCCCCTGACATCATTTGGCATTCGCAGCCTTGAGCATAGCCGCTTCGAAACTTGGCTGCCTGATGGGGGGCAAGTTAAGCATTTCGCCAATTCATAAGCGCGACAACTGCCGCCGCGGAGTGAAGCTCAACACCATGTATTCTCAAGACATCCGATCAAGTGTCACACCATCATGAGCACGTCAGACGCCAACAGCGTCAATTCAGAATGCCACCAGCTGCAAGCTGCTTTATCACCGGCCACTGCAGCTTTACGCGACTTCATTGCGGTCCATCCTGAAGCCGAAGCACAGCTCTCACCCGTGCTAGAACAAGTCCTCTCACTGTCCGACAGCATCGTCGCACTTCGACGCAATGTAGCGAGTTGCGAAGGAGAGAACCAGCTCTTGAGCGAAATACGATACGTCCCGGCATTCTGCAATGAGGTCGTCGCTCAAATCGTAGGGTCAATCTCTGACACGGCACCTGAGAAGTCCCGATGGTCGCTGTCTCGGCGCGGTGACGATGCGTGGAGGAGTGCAGCCAGTCGCGCCGCAGCCCTTAGCTCATATTTGACCACGGGGAGAAGGACAATGAGTCTGGCTGTTGATGCGTTAGACCTGTAAGCTTTCCTACCCGGTTGTTTCCGAGAAATTGGTGAGATACTGAGACTTGGCTCCAGAGTCCAACATCTTCAAAGAGCAGAGGAAGCCGGCGAGTCCCCTCCTTATGCTACTAGCGCGATCCTCCAGGAGATCAACTCCATCGAGGAGATCCTTAACCGTCAGCCCTCATCAGACCAGAAACCATCGCCACAAAAGCTCGCCGGGTTTCTCAACTTCCTTCGAACCTTCATCGACAACCAGTCGACCACGGTTCCAGCATCAGACATGGCAAGACTGTCCGTCACCGCCGACAACGCCGGCTCTTCGACCTACTCCATGTCCGCCGCACCAAGCGTAGACGGAGACGTAAACCCATACCCGACTCTCCTCGCGCCAGCTCCCGCCCACGTCACATTCCGCCACGTCGGCAAGATCACCATGAACCTGGAAAAAGAGCCCGTCGACATCCGCTTCACCTCCGCAACAGACCCGACCTCCTTCGCCGTCTCCAACTTCTTCAAAGACATCAGCCTCTTCGATGCCGCCTCAGGAGAGCGCAGGCGCACCATCAAAGTGAAAGGCGTGAACATGGTCTTCTCCCCGCTGATGGACCTCGTTGCCGTAACGACGGAGCATCATGATGAATACGTCAACCGGTTCCCCAAGACGATTCTAACCTCGCACGACATGGTCCACTTCGAGAAGCCGGCCCTGTACGTCGTCGAATGGGTCAACGACAACAGCCCCAACGCGCGCAAGTTCATCCTGCAGTGGCACGGCATCCGTGCCTTTTCCTTTAGTCCCGACGGCCAGCTTCTGGCAATCAAGGGAGTACGCAATCGCGTTGAGATCGTCACGGCTGCCAAAGGGCAGGGGTACAGCGTCATCCGCAGCCACACCGACGAAGTCACGCACGCGGAGTGGACGGCGGACTGCACCAGGCTCGTCACCGCGTCCAAGGACGGGACGCTTAGGATCACGAATGTCGAGACTGGCCGCAACATTGCCAAGATCGAGATGGAGGACTGGAGGAACCCGCTCCGGCTTGCAGTGAGCCCGGCGGGCGTGATTGCATCGATTTGGGGCAGGACGGTGACGATATGGGACCCTGAGAGCGGTGCGATGAACAGCTACAACCTTGAGACGGCAAAGGGGAGCGAGGGCGTCCCGTTGGCGATCTCACCTGACCTGCGGTGGGTTGTGTACCGGTCAGACGATGGTGCTGATGCCACGGATCTGGCGACTGGAAAGGTTGTCTACTCAGCGAGGTTGGAGTCTGGGTTCGCGGTCTCGGCTGCGTTCTCTGGGAATGGACAGTACATGGTAGTCGGGCGGTGTTTGCATGGACACCATGCCAGAAACGATTCTGGCATTCTCAACGTGTGGGAGATTCAGACTTGACGTGATTTTATGAGCAAACGAGATACCATTAGTCGTACGAAGTTAGGTTATTCCACTCGGGATTGCAACCGAGTTTGGATTCAATGTACAGCTTTACCCAGGCAGCTTATAGGCTCGGTTCGCAGTCCTATTAGAGACAACATGAGGCACCGATGGCACATCGTTGCACTACCAACTCTTTCCACCAGGGAAGTCGTCAGTGACAGCGTCATCGCGCTTCCAGGGTTTCCCGCCTGGAGAGCCACCAGCGCCCTCAACGACAGCGTTGTCGGCTACCTATACGTTGAATACGTGTTAGACACAGGCACTATGAACTCAGATGACGGCCAGAGGGGAAACGGACCGGCGCGGCCATGGCCAGTGATACAATAGCGGTAAGGGCGAGCAAGTAGAACTTCATTTTGCCGGCTTCGATGTTGCAAAGTAGAGCGAGATAGTTGTGGTGGCTGTTCAAGTTACTCGGATGGTTGAAGATGATACGAATTCGGTGACAGAGTAAGCAGGCTTAAGTAGCCTTCTGTTACACTTATTTTCGGAGACGGTTCGTGTTCAGCGATGCTGAAACCTTGAGTTATCTGAAGCCATCGTCAACTTCCACGCAACGTCGAGACCGGCGGAGTTCCACCTCGAAGCTCGAACAGCTCACTCAGCACCCTGCATCATCTGTTTTATAGGAGATTCACATTCCAGATGCGGATGCCCTTGTCTTACTGAGCATAGCATGAGCTTATCGAGTCGGCTCGGCCCGATGCTCCTACGGGTCACGTTCATCTCTGTGGTATGAGCCTCGGCGGCTAGATTCCCTTCACAATGAGACAGGAGCACACTAATGCGGTAGAAAGACATCCTATTCGATGAAATATGCTGCAGATGCTTATTCAGGCTCGCTAGGTTGGATGAAGTCAAGAGTAATCAAGGTAGTAGCGAAGATTGGAACTACATCTCCGTCTTCAGGGGCTTCTGTCCCCAGACTGCTCTTTGGCGGTAGTACCCATGAAGCTTGCCAGACCGGATTTCGCGACGCAGCTGCGCCGCATAGATGTGGATTTCCTCACGAGACCAAGTCGACATGACGTTGGCCATGAAAAGGACGTAGCCCTCAATGTCCGACAGGAGCGTCAGCTGCGCCCACTCGCCAATCTCCTTCTTCACCTCGTCCTTTGGCCAGTTGCCGATGGGGGCCTATCATTTCCCATGTTAGTCTTTCCTCCGATACCGAAAGCGCAGGTCATCCGTCAAAGGGCTCAAATACCTTATTATTCCACTCCGTGATACTCTCAAAGCCAGCGTCCTCCATCGACGTCCTCTGCAAGTTCTCGTCGAGGACCCGGAACGTCCGACCCATCTTCCGGCCGCCCTCCTCGAAGAACTTACCCCACTGGCCCAGCGCGCTAGTCTCCGGGACGGTCCCGTCGTCGCTCATAATGGCCGGCGAGACCTCGAAACTCTCAAGGTATCCGCCCGGCTTCAGGGCCCTGTACGCCTGCTTGAACAGCGCGGGCCAGTCCGCGATGCTGCCAACCAGGAACCGGATGTGAACATAGTCAAAGGACTCTGGTTCGAAGGTCCATTCGCGCGTGCAGTCGTCAATTTCACTGTGTGGGGTCAGCAACGGCACCAGCTGCTGGATCTTGACGCTTAGAGTACTCACAACTTCAGGTTAGGAGGAACCCAGCTAGGTTGGATTGGGGAGATGTCCGTTCCAATGACTTCACATTCGGGGTTCTCGTCGGCAAAGTCACTATACAGAGTTCAGCCTCTTGCATCACATACTCATGCCGAATTTCTGCGCAAGGACTTACATAGCCCAGATACCTACGATGCCGTTAGCCTGACTTCATGAGCTGAGAATGACATAAGCGCCGCTCACCTGTTCCTGTACCAATATCCAGCGCTTTGTTTAGCTATTTAGGGTTTCGTTAGTTCAGGCTGATGAGCAAGCCACCGCCGATGAGCCCGTCACCTACCTTGCTTTTGTCTAGCGGTGCCAAGTGAAGCTTGTCACCCATCGACAAGGTGAGTAGGTGATGGCTACTGTGCGTCAGCTTCGACCTCTCACTTCTTTCGTCATTGGCGGTCTCCATCTCACTTGATATCCCAAGCCTCATTCTGTTGCTCATCGTTGCTCCCCCTTTCACAATCCGTTAGCGACAACGCCCAAAACGCTCAGTCCTCTCAGCCCGCGGGGGTCACTACCAATACTGGGCGTCGCCGACCTCGCCGTGGAACGTCCTCCCGTGAATCTTCCGGTACTGCAAGATCGTAGAGGTGATCGACGCCGTAGAGCTGGCGTTGTCGTCGCCTAGCGCAGAGTCGGCATCGTCGTCGTTAGCAGCGTCCTAGCGGCCTGTCAATCATCAAAATCCCGTGGGCGGCCGCCGTTGAAAAGGGGGGGGGGGGGGATGTAGAAGTCTACGCCCCCACGGTGGAAAAAGGCGTTGAACTGACTCGTGCCGCTTGCACCCAGTGCTCAGCCGGTAGAATTCCAGCCGCTGCGTTCGCCGCTGTCTCCTGCTGCTGTGCCGTGGCCGCGGCGGCAGTCTGGTCCTCGTCTCCCTCTGGACACATTTTTCGGATGGTATCGGGGGGTTTGCACTCGCGATGTCAAGCTGTACACTAGTCGCGTCGTCGCAGGGTTTCCCGTTGCTGTTCCCAGATTCCAGGTTACTGTTGCTCGAATCCCGGGAGGAAAGGGAGAGAGTGTGTATGTCTGAGACTGATAAATCGAATTGCTTGGACAGCAGCGGGAGAGGGTGGAAACTTGCCCGCCACGAGTCACGACAAAATCCCCGGTCCCTGTTCCCCTTCTTCAATGAGCTCGGAAAACCCCACAGCAGCCGGGCAAAGCGCGTGGTCGTGGACGTGCGCACGCCTTGTCGCCTCCAATTCTTTGGGTGATCAGTCAAGTTTCCCTTCACCGCATCAACACAATCCCCATCCCCGGGCGGGGAGGGGGCGGGCGGGTTGGATATGGTCTTCTGCTTCGCTTCTCCAATCCGTTGGAGTCTTGGAGAGCATCTCCTCATCTGCCGGTTGTCAGTTCATGTCAGCTCCGCCCGAATTTTGCAGCTTTAAGCTGTGCCATGGCTCATGGTAACGTGTCAAGCGATGCGCCAAGGCCGCTGACCAAAGGTGTAGAATGCTACCATGTTCGGCCCTCATCACCAGAAACGACCGGAAGAGGGGCCGGGGATCGTCAGCGGGTAGGCCAACCAGGTGAGGACTCGCGGCATTTGCCAGTGGATCTCGCATGCAAGAACCTGCAAGGAATAGCACTCATTAATGATCAAGAACCTGGGTCTCCGCGTGCTCAATGGTGACTGCTGCGACTTTGACAGCATGTACACGTGTTATACGGAGTCGGCCGCTCAAGGCCAGGAACGAGGGGTGGCCGACGGGGCCCTAGACTTCTTCAAGAAAGATAATCGTCTCATTTGCTAGGCACAGATAATCAGGATATCTCTCTGGCTCTAATACGACGCGTTCAGTCGCATCTCGATGTACTCGCGGCTGTTTATCGGCTCGTACTTCTTCGGCCTACCGGGGCCGTAGCAACCAGGCACGCAGTCCACCGTCTTCTCCTGATCAGCACCGATAAAGTACGGAATTGAATACCGTGCCCGGGTCACGCGGTCACCGCTCTCGTTCGTCTCGAGCGGCGGCGCTTGTACGCGATGTACGGTGGACCGCAGAGTATCGTTACTCCACCGCTGCATGAAGTCGCCAATGTTGACCACGATCGTCCCAGGGATGGACGACACGGGCAAGAACCGGCCCTCCTCGTTGGGGTCCTCTACCTCGAGGCCGCCGACCTCGTCCTGGAAGAGAAGCGTCATGGAGCCAAAGTCCGAGTGCGCTCCCAGCCGCTCGACCTTGCCGGCGCGAAGGAGCTTCTCCTCGACCGGTGGGTAATGGAGGAGGCGGATCTGGTTGTCTTTCATCACATGGTAGTCTCGGAAGAAGTCCTCGTCCAGGCCCATGCCGAGAGCCATGGCGCGGAGCAGGTGGAGTTCGAGCTGATAGCAGACCTCGTAGAAATTGTTGAAAAATGACCGAAACCCAGGGAGCGACTCCTCGGGGAGCCAGATGTTGGGTAGGTGATCATCGTCCTCGCGCCCAATCTCGTATGATTCCTTAAAGTCTGGTATTTTCCTCAGCTCGCTGATTTCTTCCGCGTCAAATACCATTTGCGACACCTTTTCTCGGCCAATGCCGGAGTACCCGCGATGCCACCATCCCTCGGGTGGATGCGGCGCCTTGTCCTTCTCAGCCTGCGAGAGGGAAAAGAATTTCTCACTCTAGTCATGGAATGATCAGCAAGGACAGCGATGAAGAGAAAGTTCGTTCCTGTAGACGAACCCACTGGAAGGCGGACTTGATGTTTTCCTCGGGGATTCCATGGTTCTTGACATAGGCAAAGCCCGATATTCTGAAAGCGTCCACAAGACTCTTGCCGGCATTCAGAGCTGCTTCAGGGCTGGTGCTGTCTTTCAGGGCACCCAGGTCAACGAGTGGAATGTTAGACACCCCACCTGTTCGGGCAACAGAGGCTCCCTCGACGAACGACGGTGAATGAGGCATTGTCAATTCAGCTCTATTTCATGGAGTGACGGAGTGATAGTTGCGAGGAATTTGGATAATTTACATACTTCAGCATCGACGAGATATGTTCCCCGCCTTCTGCAGGATGACGGAATGACGTAGATCGGCGCACGAGGTTATTCACATGCGAACTGACGCACCGTGCATGCTATGCGTCAAGCCAGCAAATAGGCCAAACACGCCAAACTAGCTCTTGACTTTGACTTTAAGTTATACATCTTTCAACGTTTACTCAATCAGTCAATCATGTGATTGATATTCTTAATTTTATCCTGGAGCTAAGCCCATTGTATTACCAATTGCCCAGAGTCAATGTTTGCCCACTGTTAACTAAAACACTAAACGGCTATTCTGGCTCCTCTACTATTCTCAATGTTTACAGAAGAATTTTAACCCTTAAGACATAGCAGGTGGCACTGTTATGCGTCTCATACAAAAGCGCGAGGTTGATGATGGCTAGACGCCTGGTTGATCGCCTTATCTAGCACCTACACGCAGGGCGCTCCAAGACCGAGCCCGGCGGTAAGGTTCAAGGAAGCATTGCCAAAAACCGAGGTTGCTAACCAGTTTCCAACATAATTCTCAACCTCGAGAGGCTTCTGCCACCTTGCCCAATGCCCTTCGTCAATCTCACCTCGGCTCAAGTTGTCAAAGTACGTTTCCATTCCTTCTGATAGAGACGGAGGCAGCGTGAGATCTTGGGTTGCAGCGATATATAGCGCAGGTTGCTTGAACTTTCCGCTGTAGGTGGTGTTGTCAGGGATAAGCACCCGCTCATCTTCCCAGTTTAGCTTGTTG